CGGTTCCGGCGGAGCCGCCCCCAGTGGTAGCTGCACTCCTCCTCCCGCACGCAGCGGCCGGATGAGGACACGAGGTACTCGGTGCCACAGCGGCAGCAGATTCGGCAGGCGGCTGGGGGGTGGGGAGGTGGGGAGGGTCAGGTCCTGCGACTCCCTGTCCCAACGAGGCCCTCCCGGAACCACCCCCTTCCTGCCCGTCCTCCAGCACAGCTGGTGCCGAAGGCCACTCACAGTCCTTGGGCTTCTTGTCGTCGGCCGTGAAGAGGACAGCTCCCCCAGGCCGCGCGGGGTGCGGGAAGGGGTAGCCGTTTTCCTTGAGCTGGTCCTCGGTGAGCAGGTATTCCTTGAGGCGACCGTACAAGGCGGCCCCTGGGAACGGGGGGGACAGGTGGTCAACCCACAGGGAGGCCGGGACGGCCGTGGGGAGGGGGGTGGAAGCATGGCCACAGAGGCCACTGCTGAGCCCCGGGCGGCCCGGGGGGCTCACCTTTCAGATCCTCCACGCGGGGGCTACTCGGGCGGCTGAGTGAGAAGCTGGTTTTGGTGGCCAACTTGCCCCCCAGCACCATCTCATGGGACACAACCTTCCGGCCGCTGGTTTCTGGAAGGGGGAAGAGTAAATGACACTCGGTGTTCTCTGTCCCTCCCCAGGGCACCCCCACCCCTCCGGACTGCCCTGTCCCCGGGCCTGGTCTCCACTGGTCAGGAGAGGCCTGACCCGGGACCTCAACTCTTCTGGGTCGGGCTGCGGGAGGAGCCGTGGCGGGACGGGACGGGACGCGAGCAGGCAGGTGGCGTGAGCCTTCGAGTAGGCCCCGCCCATTAGCTGGCGGCCCACAGCCCCCAACACCCGGCTCACTATCCGGACGGCACGGGGCCAAGCCGTCGACAGGGGACCTGGCTGCCCGCACTGCCACCAGCGTTTCCTACAGCCTTTTGTCCCCGACCCCTCCCCCCACCAACTGCTGCCACAGCCCGGGTGGGAAGCCGCCCCAGGACGCCGGGGGAGCCCACAAATCTTGGGAGGCGCAGACCCAAATCTTGTAGATGGGACACCCTGGCCGCGCCCCCCTCCGCCCCCCATTTACTGTGGAGACCCGGCGTGGGGCTGGGGGCCAGGCCTCGAAGCTTCTTGAGAGTGTTCACGGCAACATTCAAGTAGATGTTCTTGCTGGGGCTGCGGTCGTACGCCACCTTCTCCTCGTTCAGCGCCTGAGGACACACACCACTCAGCCCCGTGGCCCCGGAAGTGGACGGTCCCAGCTCGCTGTCCGTCCCCCCACCCCCCGCCCCACCAGCCCGCGGCCACCTCCCAGGGTCACGCACCTTCTCTATGGCTTCCTGATTTGAAGAGCAGAATTTGAGACACTCCTCAATGAACAGGTTGAGATACCGCTGGCGGATGACGGTGGGGACTTTGCCCCCAAACTCTTTGGGGATAATGGGCTTCTTTAAACTCTAGAGAAGACACGGACCATCAGAGACGGCGCACGCGCCGCCTGGACCCTGATGGAGGTCTGAAGCCCCCGGGACGCCACACACACAGGATGGGTGAAACCCTGGGCTTCAGGGACTCAGCTTGTCCCTGGCTCATCAGGGCCAGCAGAGCCCCAGCAGTGTCGACCAGAGGGGAAACTGAGGGCAGGCGGGAGAGGCGGGGGAAGGCACGTCTCTGTGAAATGAAAGCGCCCTGGGCAAGGGGAGTCTGTTAACAAAAGCAGCAGAGGGAGTAGGAAGGGGAGGAGCACGCAGGTTCTAAGGGCGCATCCAGGGGCACCCAGGGGCGACAGCGAGCCAGGCGCCCCAGGGGACGGGGGAGGGGCACTCACCTGTAAAGACGGGCTGTGGGCAACGCGCTTGGGGGTGACGGTGGTGGTGGTCTTGGACGCCATGCCCGACAACGTGCGTGCCTTCAGGGGCTGGCTGCCCGGCTCAGGGCCATTGGGAGGCTGGCTGCTGCTGGCGGCGAGGGTCCGCTTGGCACCTGTGGGGGCTGGCGGGGCACAGGGGGCGTGAGAGCACGAAGAGAGCACACCCATGACCGAGCTGCAGAGCACCAAGCAGCCGCGGTCGTTCAGCGTCAGCAGGACGTGCATCTCGGAGCACAGGGGGAAGGGCCGGGCTGCGGGGCACGGGCTGCGGAATGACATTAGGCTCTATCTGCTTTCGGGCAAGTCCATTGAGAAGGGGGAAACAAGTGGGGCTTCGGAGGCCGGCTCAGGCGGCGTCGCCACGGGGGCGGTCCGGCGAGTGGCAGGGCACGTGGGAAGCCTCTGCCACATGTCCCGGCCCCCGACTCCGAGGCATTGACGTACGAGGGAGGAAAGGCCCCGGCTCCTGGGCTGAGGACCAGAGGGTACAGGGTGCCCCCGGCCCGCTCATTGTGACCAGCGGGCCTGCCCGCCACTGCCTGTGTTCTGCCTCTCCCTTTGATGAGGTCACAAACCAAACAGTCTCCCGCCTCCCTGGGGAGGAGGGCACCTGCCTGCCGGGCTGTTTCCAAGGGCTCTGGGGCGGCGGCCGGGGCGCAGAAGGCGGTGCAGGTGTACGCACGTGTGCGCACGGGGCTTCCGGGCAGCCCCACCCCCGGGCTCAGCCCCGATCAAGGAACAGGAGCGGAGGAGGGGAGCCCAGAACGCACGCAGGGCCCCAGCCTCGTGGAAGGACCAGGGCACCACAAGCTGGCCGTGGCGCAGCCCATACCAGGACCGGCCTCTGCCGAGTCGGCAGGAAACACGGGCCCGTCAGGAGGAGGGAGACAGCTCTTAGGTTCACTGACGCCTGGGCTTTTTGTGCAGCGCCAGGGCGTGTGTGGAAAGGAAGCCAGCACAAGGCACTGGACGGGACCCCTGAGCTTCAGGTGAGCCCCCTGCAGCTCAGGAAGGTCGCCACCGTGTCTAAGGCCACCAGGCCACGTGATGACTGTAGCAAGAACTGACCCAAGTGAGCCATGGAGAACAGCCCAGGTGACCCGGTCACGTGCAGTTGGCTTTACAAGTCTGTGTCCCAGGGTCCACACAGTTCAGGGTCCTCTCCTGTCGCTGCAGCTAAACCCTACTGATGACCCACATCAACACCTCCTGCCCTCAAGTTCTTTTTTGAAAAACTTTTTAAAGTTTTTGAGAAAGGGATAGAGACGGCATGAGCAGAGAAGGATCAGAGAGAGAAGGCGTTACAAAATCTGAAGCAGATTCCCGCTCTGAGCTGTCAGCACACAGCCCAACGTGGGGCTTGAACCCACGAACCGTGTGATCATGACGAGCTGAAGTCCGACACTTAACCGACTGAGCCCCCAGGTGCCCCTCTCGCTCTCAAGTTCTAAGTTGGGAGCTCCGGGGAGGACAAGGGGCAGAATCGGGACATGTCCTAGAGCAGGGAGAAGGCCGGGAAGGCTGCTGCGGACTAGCTTGCGGGGCCCCACCCCTCAGGCCCCCCTAACTCCAGGGGGCATCTCAACCGGCAGCAAGGAAGCACCCAACCCCCCCCCCCCCCCCCGCGGAGCTGGTCAGATGGCAGGGGGCATCTGAAACCCAAAAGAAGCTGAATCAGCATCTGAACAAGCCCTCTGGGTGGCCTAGTACCCAGGGGCTCCCTCACCTTGGCCAGCTCAGGTGCCACTGGGCGTCCTGCCGTCAGACCACAGAGGTCTGACCCGACGTTCGGACAAAGGCAAGTGGGGAAAGTACCCTCAAAGCAGAAGGCAATCTAGCCCCAGGGGCCTACAGATCAGCCGGCTCAATTCCACCAAGCACTGAGAGGCTCCAGGGCTGCAGCCCCACAGACGGCCCTGAGGCCAGCTCCCCGTTCCTGGCATCACGGGCCAGAGCCCGGTGCCCACACTCAGGAGCCCGGGGGAGGCCAGGACAAGAAGACCAGGCAGGCAGGGACAGAGTGGGAGTCACAGGAGATTCCTGGGTCAGGGCCTCGGGGCGGGGGGGGGGGGAGGCAGGAAGCCAGAGAGATAGATGCTCTGAGCCCGTTAGACGGACACGGGGAGGGATGAAGGCGCCCCGCGGACCCCCCACAACCAATCCCTGGCTACCGATACCAGAGTCCAGAGCTGGGGACGGCCCAGAGCCACTGGGCGCCGTGTCAGGTCTGTGTTAGCCTCCTGCTAACAGCGGGGGGGACCCTCAGCCCCACCTTACACACCAGCACGCTGAGGCACCGGCAGAGGCGGAGCCTGGCCTCGGGCCCCTCTCACCGCCTGCGAGCCCCCGTGCCCTGGGACTTACCTGCGGCCAGGCGGGGGTTGGGGACATGGGCGATCCTCCTCTTCTCGCCAGGGGCTGAGATGTGGACGGAGGACGGCTTCTCGGCCGGCGGCTGGGTGGCCTGGAGCCAGGCGGCCGAGTCCCTCTGGGCCTGCTGGGCCCGCCGGTAGCACACCTCCTGGGCGGTGGGGGGCCGGGCGGGGGGGGCCGGGACTCTCCGCCCTGCCTCCGCCTGGGTGACGACAAATTCCCGGGGGGCTCTGTATGCCGGGAGCACCCAGAGCAGGCCGCACGGGGCAAAAGGCTGCCGGTAAGGCCAGGGACAGGAAGGCAGGGGCTCCGGGGCCAGGCACGCTGCCCCGGCGCCCTCCTCCGAGCCCTCAGACGCCCCGGCAGGAAGCAGCCAGCTCCACACGCTCATGCTGCCCCGCTGGCCCGGCACCTCGCCTGCCCTGCTCTCTTGGCTTCTGGCCTCGGAATGCCTAGGCCCTGCCCTTGGCCCTGATATAGGCGCGGCGTGGGTGGGACTCATTAGGCCCCTGATTGGATTGACACGCTAATCCAATCCCACTTGACTCCTTTTCTCTGGCCTTCAGCTTAGCCAGGAGAAGGGTCTGGTGGCGGATTCAACCAGAGCTCCCAGGTGCTGGGCGGAGAGCCTTCACGATGCCACTAATAACTGTTCCTCTCTCTGGGGTGGGATCCAGGGCTCTGCAAGGTCGGGCCACTAGTCCAAGATCAGCAGGCCCTCCTCCCGCGCCCCCTCCGTGCCCCGCGCCCCCCAGCCCTGAACCAGAGACTGGAGAGCAGGCTCCAAGCAGCTCTCTGCCATGACCCAGGGAGTGCCAGGTACGTGTCTGCCAGAGGACCCCACCGGCAGGGAACACAGGGGTCTTGTCTGTGCAGACGGGCTTTCTCGCCCCGACCAGCCTCCACTCAGGACCCAGCAGGGGACCCCTACCTCCTTGCCTTGCTTGGAGAGATGAGAAATTCTCCTCTTCTGCCCAGGGAACAGTGTGGTGAGGCCCGAATGCCCCTGGCCTTCCACCTGCTCTTCCTTGGGAGGCTGAAACACATTCATCCCTGAGGTTCCTCCCTCAGATCCTGCCACCCGCACCACCCGCACCGGTGCGGCGGCTCCCCTCCCCTCCCCCCTGACAACACGTAACTCAGGACACAGAGCGAGAGGTGGGAAGCCGGACACACTCATGGCAGGGGCTACCAGGGCTTGACATACAATGTGGGGCCCTCGCCTCCGACCGCGAGGCGCGCTCCACCCGCTCCCCGATGGGGAGACAGGCCCCCTGGCCAAGCCCCTGGCGCTGGCCAGTCCTGCACACGTCTCCAGCAGACGCACTCAGCCCTGAGTGGGACGCAGGCCTCGGCCAAGTGGTCTCGGGCCCAGACCACTGCCTCCTGCTCCCCTCCCTCGCCAGCTCATACGGGGCAGCTCAGAACTGTGGGAACATGGGGGAAATCTGAACAGCAACACCTCAAAGGTCTGCAAGCAGAGCACTAAGGGACCAAGCAGCCAGCCCAGATCTCGGGAGCCTCACGGAAGGCGCAGGTTTCTGAGCAGGGACTAGCCCCTCTGGCTTTGTTCAAAGCACGCACCCTGGTGGCCAAGGTGGGCACACTGGACGACTGACCCAGAAAGGCCAGGGGAGTCTGGGGGGTGGGGGGGGAGACTGAAAGGAGAAGGAGAGGAGAGGAAGTGGGGGGAGGGAAGGTTGGAAAAGAGGTGGGAAGGGGGGAGAGAAAAGGGAGGGATGGGGGAGAGGAGGGAGGAGCAGCCTGAGGAAAGTGGAGAGAGGAAGGCAGGTGGGGAAATAAGAAGGGAGGGGGAAGGAGGGAGGGGAAAAAGAGGGGAAGACTGGCGGGAGGGGAAGGCACCAACGCAAAGGAGGGGGGCGGGAGATGGAGGGGGAGGGGAGGGAGAGGGGCTGCCCCCACACAACCCTGACCAGTTTCCCGAGTTTTGGGCCTCAGTGGCCACAGGCCCTGCCTGGTGGGCCCTGAGCTCTGTCTCTGGATGAGGCGCAGGGGCAGCAGGCGGCCGGCAGGGTCTCCTGGACGGGGGAGGAGGGGTCGCCCCCATGGCGGCAGCCACGGCCCAGGGGCAGGGCTCACCTGCAGGGCCTGCCGGCCCCTGTGCTCGGTCTTGACGCTGGTGGACTCGTTGAAGATGCGCAGACACTCCTCCATGGGGTCAGAGTCAAAGTCGACCTCCTTCTCCAGAGCCGAGTAGTCTACCTCCTCACCGGCCCCAGAGGAAGAGGAGGAGGAGGGGGAGGGGGAGGCGGGGGCAGGACAAGGGGGCTGCGGGGCCTTGAGGCGCTTGCGTGGCCCCTGAGCAGGGGAGCAGCCCAGGCTTCGGTCCGAGTCCGAGTCGGAGCTGGAGCTGAGGCAGGGCAGGGCGGGGGGCGCCGCAGGCCCTGGGCCGGGACCCTCATCCTCACTCTCGTCCCCAAAGAGGTCAGCGTGGCTCAGGGCCCGCTTCTGCAGCTTGGGGGCATCCCGGGAGGCACCCTCGTCCAGCGAGCGGGCCTTCCGCTCCGCCAGCTTCCCCGACGGGGTCTTCCCGCCCGTCCTGTTTGGCAGCTGGTGGACACCCCCGCGGTCGGGCCGGCTGTTCCCTGAGCTGGCCACCGGGGTGGCCGAAGATGGCTTTTTCTTGGTCCCTTCGGGCTGCCTGGCCCTGTGCCGGGGGCTGCTGGCCTGGGGGCCCCGCCGGTCCACGCAGGGCTTCCTGGCCAGCCGCGCCTGCTCTCCATCTTTACCCCGATCCTTCCTCCGGGCGCCATCCTTGCGGCCCGGGTTTGGCAGGGCCCCACTTCGCTTCTTCTTGGGTTTCCCCTCCTTGGGGCCGCCGGGGTCCTGCGAGGCCCTGGCCGGGGAGCCAGGCTTGGCCATGAGCTCCCCACCAGGACCCCTGGGGGGCTGCCCCAGGTCCTCCACGTCATACTGCACGGCCATCTCCTTGGTCTCCCGCAGGCCCCCCTCCTCGGTCCCTTGGCCCTCCTTGGAGGCTGGCTTCCCCGGGGCCTTGCTCTCGGTGCCCGCCTGGGCTCGCGGGGGGCTCGTGGCGGCTGGCCTGTCACCTGGAGGAGCGTCGTCGTCATCGGAGTCTGAGAACCTGGCGTCGCAGCCGGCAAAGGGGTCGCAGGGCTTCTTGAGGGCGGGTGTGTAGGGCTCGCTACCCCGGGAGCCCCGGGGCCGCTTGGGGGCCCTGTCATCCTTGGAGCTGGCCCTGCTGAGCAGCCGGGCAGAGAAGTTGGACAGAGGGTCATACTCCAGGTCTGTGGACGGCTTGGAGTCGTCCACCACGTACTTGCCGCTGGGGACGGGGCGGCTGTACCGCTGGGGCTGGCTCACAGCCTTGGGCACGTACTCCAAGGCGCCGCCAGCACCTCCGCCGTGGCCCTGAACCCGATCCAGAGCAGCCAGTGAGTACTTGCCACCTGCCTCGGCGGCGGCAGCCAGAGGAGTGGGCTGGTAGCCGGCATCGGGGCTTAAGAGGCCAGGGCGGCCGCCGGGGTTGTAATCGAAGGACAGCGGGAAGGCGTCCTCGTCCAGGCCAGCGGCGGGGCCGGTGGCGGGGCCTCGGGGCGCCAAGGCAGGGGCCTCGGCCGAGCTGTGCTCGCGGGCCGTCTCCAGGAGCTCCTGGTACCGCCGCTGCTCCAACTCCACCTCCGAGCGCACAGCCTCGATGGCCTGATTGACCAGCTCCAGCTCCAGGATGTCCGAGCGGGGCTCCTCCCCTCCACCCAGGGCACCATTCTCCCTCTGCACGGGGGGCTTGGGCAGCTCGGGGTTGTACGGGTCATATCCAAGCCCTGAAACAGTAGCGGGAGAAAACGGCAGTGAGCAGGCCCCCCGAAGCAGGCACGCGAGCCAGCATCAGGACCCGGCCCCACCGCGAGCCTCACCCCCGACGCCTACGGGGAAGAGCAGGGAAGCAGCCGAGCAGCAGAACCAACTGTGGCCGGGCCCCCTGCAAAGGCGGTGGGGGGGCCACGCTGGCAGGCCCGCTGAGGGGGCAGAATTGGGCCCCTGGCGGCGTGGCCACTTGGTCCACAGACCTCCTGGCATGGGGTGGGGGACTGGTGACCTTACAGATGGACAAGTATTTCCGGGAGCTGGGGCGAGAACGGCATCACCACGGGCCTGTCCCACGCCAAAGCCGCAGCGCAGGGCCTCCTGGGGACAGAGCGCCGGCCGGCCGGGCAGGGTGCAGACACAGCCCCCCGTAGGGCAGGAGCGCACTGAGCTCCCCAGGCCCGGGCCACCCAGAGGTGCCACCTTTAGGGCTCTGTCCCACAAACCCACTCCCTGCAGGTAAGTCCCTGGGGCCGTGCCTGTGCCAGGAGAGCAGAGAGCTGCTAGGGGCCCAGCTGAGGGAGCACGTCAACAAAGGACACCCATGCACGCCTGCAAGGGGAAAGGAGGCAGAATGTTCTCTGCCCTCTGGCCCCACAGTGTATAAAAGAAAAAAGCATTTACATTCAAATCACATTCTGAGAATGCCAGGTAGGGTGGAGAGCCAGCATGGCACCCCACCACCCTGAGGTCAGGGTCACAGGCCTGGAGCCACCCAGGTGCGCCCACCTTACGTCCTTTTAACATTTCTATCCAACAGTCACGCCTCCGCCCCCACCCCCACCTCCTGGGGCGGCTGTGGGACAGATAATCCTGGTTCCCTTCCAGGATCCAGGGGGACACACAGTCTACAGGAGCAGCTCAGCCGATGTCAGCATCAGTACAGAAACCGCCAGAGACTCCCTCACAGACAGAGGTACAGAATTCTCCATTAAATGTCAGCAGATGAAGCCCAGCGTTCTGAGAAATGGATCAGACACCAGCTTCCAGGCTGCCGTGTCAATCAATGGATCATTAGAAACCCTACCTAAAACGACGAACAGACTTAAACCTAGCCCACGTATGGCCTCAAAATAACATAACAGCGTGTATCAACTTTACTCAAATAAAAATTTTAAAAATCTTATCAGAGATAATTCTATACCATCTCGAAGAATATGTCAACAGATCCAATGCCCTGAGATTGACCAAGTAACAGCAATTCTCCCCGGGAACCTGGAGAAGGAGCCAGGCCTGCCTGCCCCTGGGTGCAGCCAGGGGGGACCTAGCTGCTGCTCTGGCCTCTCCGGATAAGGAAGCGGTGCTGGGCCTCAGCAGCCCTGAGACTGTGGGAAGAAAACCATGTGCCTGCCTGCCTGTGGGGGAGAGAGTTTTGCAGGGGACAGGGCCGCCAGGGGCTGCGGGGGACAGGGCCGCCCAGGGCCCGAGGGAGGGAAGGGATTGCTGTGTGTTGTTCAGTTTTAGCTTGGAGCCCACGTCCCACGTTGTGTTCACAAGCAAGGAAGCGCTCAGCGAAGCTTCCGACGCAGACGGGGAGGCAAAACCAGAGTCGGGGCTGGGGAGCAGCCATTTCACGCCCCCCCCCCCAGCTGAGAACCAGGGGCACGACATGGGGAGACTGGGGGCAGGGCACACAGCCACCCCTGGCAAGAGGCGAAGGGACCAGCCCCCCTCCCAGCCCACATGACCCACAACCAGTCCAAAGGCACCCATGGGAGACCTGGCCCAGCCTCAGGGCCCCTGCGTGAACAAAGAGAAGACAGTGTCCCCTCCTCCCCCCAGAAGTCCTGGCTGCCAGCAGAGCGCAAGCGCCCAGACCAGCCACAGGCTGGGGGACACTTACTGGGCACGTCCACTGAGGGCCTGAGGAGCCTCCAGTCCAGCCTACCTCACTCCCCACCCTCCCTCCCTCGTCTAAGAGTCCTGCCCCTGGTGGGGGGATAGGAGTTAGGGTCCACCTAGTGGAAGTGCCCCTCCCCCAAGGGCCAGTCAGGGAGGCATGGACGAGGGTCCTCTCTAAGCCTCAGCAGGGAAAGGGCTACCGACAAGAAGCAGGTCAGCCAGGGACCCCTCAGCCCCATTTCAAAGTGAGGAAGCCACTTTACATTTTGGAAGGAAGGGTTTTCCCCCAAGGGGGGGTGGGAGGAGGCCCCGCAAAGGGCCTGAGGCCACCTCATTAGCTCTGGCGAACCTGAGGCAGAGAGGCAAGGAGGGCGGCCGTCTAGCTTTCCACCTTGGAGCCTGCACTGGCATCGTGGGGGCAGTCACACCTGCTCCCTCTACCCTCTCTAGGCTCTAAGCAGCCTGGCCGCTAAACTGGGAAGGGGCAAGCGCACTTGGGGTCCCAGCATCGCGGACTCGGTAGGGGGTGCAGCCCCTGGAGGAGCCCAGGCCAGGCACCCAGCCCCTTGATATGAGCCCAGCCAACACAGGGGTTTTCAGCCCCAGCTGGAGGCTGCCTCCCCAACCATGAAGCAAAACCAACGCCCTCAGTGGGCCTAAGGTCAAGGCCAAGAGCCTCCCCTGTGGGGCCTCCTGTAAGTCTTCGTCAGCATCCTGAGGGGCTCCGTCGAGAAGCCTTGAGTGCAGCTGCCAGGAGCTGTTATAACTGCCAGGAGTTGTTACAACCTCGCGGGCCTAAAAGTGAGCACAGGGAGCCCAGAGCTCAGTCCCTGCAGGCAGGCGCCTGCTGCGCCCCAGCCAAGGGCACCTGAGGCTTCCGGGAGGGGAGCACAGAAGCTCCCTGTTCCTGGCCGCTGCCTGCCCTGCTTCGGAGGGCCGGGCCCCCAGCAGAACCTGTGGGAACTGGAGAAGCTCCCCAAGAGAACGTCTGGCGCGCTGCAGGGGCCCCGGGCCTGCCCACCCGCCGGCGGAAGCACGTAAGGCGGCTCTGGGCAGGCAGCACCTTGCGAGGCTGGCCCACGGGGCACCGTGGGAGGCGCCTTCTAACACCAGGGACTCTATCTGGATGGATGCCAAGAACGTTCCTTTGGGGGTTTGGCCCCGGTAAATCATGCACTTGATAAACAAGATTAGGGGCGCCTGGGGGGCTTAGTCGGTTGGGCGTCCGACTTTCGCTTAGGTCATGATCTCTCAGTTCGTGGGTTCGAGCCCCGCGTCGGGCTCTGTGCTGACTGCCAGCTCGGAGCCTGGAGCCTGTTTCAGAGTCTGTGACTCCCTCTCTCTCTGACCCTCCCCTGCTCACGCTCTCTCTCTCTCTCTCCTAGAAATAAATTTAAAAAATTAAAAAAAAAAAAAAAGATTAATTGGGCTGATTTTTGGAAAGGAAAAAGTCACCAAATGCCCCTTCCCACCCCCAGCCTAGGTGGGGGTCTTCCCCTGACGGTGCCCGAGCCTCGGTTCTGTGCTCACAGAGGCCACATGTCCACCAGACCTGCCCTGAAGGACAGAGCTGCCCTCCGCCGGCTCTCCCGGCGATGGCATCCAACATTCTCTGACCACCCGCTTCGAGGACGGGCTTCCCGCGCGGTGGACACCAACCAGACCCCCGCTTTCCAGGGCTGTGGGTCACCGAAGGCAAGAACTCAAATGGGGCTGAGGCAAGGGTCGCTGTGGAGGAAAGGGGCCGAAAGAGCAGCAGGACAGGCCAGTCACCCCCAGTCACTCCGAGCCTCCCCCTGCCAGGAACACCCATCCTGGCCGCGTCCATGCCTCCCTCCAGAAAACACTCCCGCCCCTCCTGTCGCGCACGTGCAATCAACAAGACAGCTGAGCACAGAGGCGCCACAGGGGGAGGTCAGTGAGCCCCACTGTGAACTTCAGGGGGCGCTGCAGGCATGGACGGGGCCCTCCCAAGTCAGCCCATTCCACAGATAAGGAACCCGAGTCTTGGCCGGCCTAGCTGCCAGCCTCCCTCCCCACCCCACCCCACCCCTGGAGAGAGATGTGACCCCAAAGCCTGGGCCCTCTCCCTGCTCCAGAAAGGAGAGCTGGCGCTGCCTTCTGAAGGGCTGGCCATCACCCCTCCCCTCCTTCGGCGCAGCCCAAGGTCCAAAGACGATAAGCACACAGTGCACACTGGTCCCACCCCAGCTTCGAGCTCCGATAAGACATCAGCGGGGCTCTCCTCCAGCCTCGGTGGCGGTCACAGCCTGCTGACCCTGCACGGGGCCGGCAGGGACACAGGAGGGGACAGTCCCCACAGCACCAGAGAGAAGCAGGACACACAGGCTACCTGTGGAGCAGCCTAAGTGAAGACACTAAACCCACCCACGTTCTGGGGCTGCATGGGACGAGGCCTCCCAGGAAGGGGTGACATCCCCAGAAGGTCACAATGGTAGAAAGGACACTGACTGATGGCCAGCCCTGGCTTGGCTGGAATGCATAGAGGGTGAACTGGGGCAGAGCAGTTCTGAGCACTCACCCCCATAGGGGGCAGGGCAGCCCCCGTCCTCAGAGGGGCTGGCTGTCGCTACTCCCCTCAGAGTAGAGAGGGGCTCAGAGTCTCTATCCCCCGGGGCCTCCCCGCCCACCCAGCCCCCAGGGAGGATGCCCATGCACCCCACTCCTGGACATCTGAGCGCGCCACTGGACAGGGCAGGAGCCTGAAGCACAGGGAGAAACACCGGGCCGCTCGCTCGCTCGCTCCGGAGCAGAGGGCAGAGGCCTGTGGCACCCGGGACATGCAGGAAGAGAACCCTGACAGCTGGTGACACCGGTCGGCCCCCCCTCACCGCCCTCTGCCACGCCCCCTGCACCCTCCCCTCAGCTCCAAGGTCCCCAGGCCAGAAGCGAGCTCAGGCCAGGGCCCCAGACAGGAGGCCAGGCGCTCAGGCACCCCGGGCATCAGCAGTCACACTGCTGCTGGGCTGCCCTTCCCGAGGCCCGATCCTAGGGAGCAGGACGGCAGTGCCCACGCGGAATCGTGGGGTCTGAACAGGACACGGCTCAACTGCGCTGCAAAACCACAGGGAAGCACACAGCACAGGAAACCCGAGGAGAACCCGGAAATCCCTGAAGAGCCTAAAAATGCAGGACAGCAGCGCTCACAAAGGAACGGGGGCTGCAGCGCCGACGGCGGGGCCTCCGGGGTGAGGCCGACCGAGGCCCGTTCTCTGAGGCCCCTTCCCCTCGCAGCCAGGCCATGACGGGCACGGGTCCCTGCGGCCAACCCCCAGGCCTCGACTGAGCAGATCACTTTCAGGTCCAAACACAGAATTGCAGCAGTTCTCTCATTCCGGCCCTGTGACCCCCCCAAGCACACTGGCTGGTGGACGCTCCTGGGGTCACCTTCCTCCATAAGACAGGCTCCGGGGACCTCCTGGGTGGCCTAGGCACGCGGAACAGTGTCCTCTGGATGTGCCAGGGAGGGGGAAGGCAGGCCACACCTGTCAGTCATTCCTGGAACGTCGGGCCAAGACGGGGGGGGGGGGGGAGAGCCAGCTATGTCCCCTAAGAGCCCACACAGCAAGGTCGCACATCAGCATCAGTGGCTTCTATTACTTGACCCCCCAAGAAGGTGCTGGCGGGAAGTGATGAGGGCAGGTTTCCCTCATCCCTCAGGTGGGCCAGCCACCTCCCCACCTTCATATTTGGACAGCTTCCTGCCCAGAGCCTGATGGACTGTCTCAGTGACTCTTCCAGGCAGCCCTCCGAGATCATCCCTGCAGAAGTGGTGGGACTCAGCTGCTCGGGCAGGCCTGTGCTCTCCCCTAGGAACCCAGCACACTGCTGGAACATGGGTGCGTAGGGATGGGGGCCCCAGAGCTTTTGGGCCCTGTCTCCTGAAACAGCACCCACATTCCTGCTCTTTGAGGGGCTCTCTGGGACACTCCGCTGGAGAAGGGGACACAGGTCTCCCAGGACAAACAACTGTGATGTGTGACCATCAACTAGGACACAGAGGGACAAGCTTCACCAGGATGTGCCTGGAGCGAATGCAGTCCCCATGCTTCCCAGACATGCCCTCCGTTACCTTCCAGGCCTTGCCCCTTCCTGTCCCTGCAGCCATGCCCACCTCCCGGTCTGTGAGGGTGGACTTGGCCTGTGCGGGAGGACAGTTAGAATCAGTGTGATGGGGGCACCTGGGTGGCTCAGTCGGTTAAGTGTCAGACTTTGGCTCAGGTCATGATCTCGCGGTTCGTGGGTTCGAGCCCCGCGTCGGGC